AGTGCTGTGCTGGGGACATGGGTTACCAGAGCTAACAGTCAAAAGGTTCTCAGCCCACACAGCAGTTTGGCCTGCCCGACATTCCCATTTCTCAAAGAAACAATTTTTAACTGCTCAGATGGTTTATTCAGATTTTTTTTTGACTTTAGAGTAACTGAAGACACATACAGCAGCCTTTGGACTGCTGGTCTCCTGCCACCTTCTCAGGAGAGGCAGCAACAGCAAGGGTGAAAGTAGAGCACCCACCTGGCAGAGCTTCAGGTGCCCCACAGCTGAAGCAGATTTACCTGGGAAAAGGGAAGAAGTGTATAAACTAAAGCACCAAGAAAACAGGACAAGACTGTGGCTCCCATCCCCACTGTCGGGAAGCAACTCAAAATACTACCATAACCACACTGAGAAGCAAACTTTCCCATTAAGTCCCAAGGATTCCATTCTGTAATACTGCAACAAAACTAACTGAGGTGCATTAAAATAGGTTGGAGATCACTACCAAGGACTTATCTATGTGACTGTTTTAATTTATATTATGTTATAATTTTCACTATTAATCATATGTATTTTTACTACATTTAAGTTTTTATACATGTTACATGATTAGGATGATGGGACAAATGGGCTGAGAAGGTTCAAGACTTCCTCATTTTTCCTTTGTCCTTTCTGGTACCCAAGGTCTTCAGAAGTCACGGGGTCCCCTAGTTTCTACTCACCCAGTCATGAAACATGTATTATTTTCTAATCACCAACTATATGCAAAACAGGGCTTGACTTCTCAGGGACACATTAAGAATGACTCGCTTCTTCCTCACAGCAACCTGGTAGGCAGAACCAGCAAAGCAGCTGGGAACGCGCTTTCACAACCCTGTGCAGGAAGGCGGAAGGTGGCCATCACCAGCAATGGAGCAGCACTTCCCCCAGCCCAGGCGTGACCCTGGTAAGCCTGGAAGGAGCCCTGTGGCTAATGGGACACAGCTACTGGTGCTCAGCCAGCTCACCAGGCTCATCAGGACACAGCCCAAGGGACAATACTGAACTAAGACATGCACCGTGTTTCTCTGGGAGGACAGGCAAAGGTGTTAAGTGACAGGATCAAATTCCCAAAGCACCCTGGGAGGAACCAGCCAAAATAAAGCCCAATAAAGGTCATGCACACCATGGCACGAGTATGGAACAAAGAGCATAAGGCTGGTGACCAGAAAGCCACCAAGTCAGAGAAGCCCAGAGGCGAATGCAAACTCAAGAGCACAGCAGCACAACAGCAGGTGGCCAGAAAAGATGTTCCTGCTCTACTCTTCGAGGTCAGGGGCAGGCAGGGGCACCGGATCCTAGGCCCAGTTCCTATTGGGACTGTTCCATAACTGAACTACCTCTACAGAAGGATGTGTTCTGATGGCCACCAAGGCAGTAAAATGTGGATAAACAGGTAGAATTAGGTCAATCCCATTAAGTCAAAAATCTTTCTAGTTCTAAAGGCCATCTAAAAGGTAGCACTCTCACCCCTTACTGGCCATGCCTGGGTACTGCCAGAAGACCACCTGAGAGATCGCACAGGAATTCGAGCATTGAGGAAGGCTGAGCGGGGCTGTCCATGACTTCCACATCCTGGTCCTCTGGGGACATTCTCAGTGCTCCATGCAACAGGAGAACGAATGGGCACATGGGCATGCAGGTAGCTGGGTACAGATGTTCTCTCCAGATGGGAAGAGCCCCCCCGCAGACTGACAGCATATACAACCTTTTGATTATATCAATTCATCTTGATGCTTAGATGATGGAGAGTAACTGCTATTATTAATTTCAATATACTTCTGTAGCAGTGTTAAATGCAGACAAATATGCCCATCCCTAAAATTTGTGGGTTTTTTTTTTTTAATTTTACAGGGGATGGAAATAAAAAGTGTAAAATCAGGAAAAGATAACCTTTATGGTCCTTTCTGACCCAGAGATGCTAAGACAATGACATTCACCGAATACCTTCTTCCTTCCCATCACTCAGGTCACCATGCAAGGTCAAACACGGATAAATACAGCAAGAAGCCAATCATACTAAACAAGACATCTTATAAGAAAGAGGGCCCATACAACTGGTCAGACCTGGCCCCGTCCCAGGACTTCTGCTCTTCGGAACAAAGCTTATGAATCAAGTTCAGAAAGGATCAAAATAAATTATCCCTGAAGTTGTAAGGCATTTAAATTCTTACCACACAGTTACCTCTCCTTTAAAAAGGATCATAGGTAAATGCAACTGAAATAGAAAAGTTATGAATCATTGACTTCAAGGTAAACCAAGCAGCTATTGCCAAAACAGGTTTCAAACACAAACATACAAGACCAAGAAAGACACAGTCAGGAAAACATAAACTATCCCAGCCTGACATTTGCATTATTCTGATAATTTTAAACAATAAAGAAATCTAAACTTCTGGTACTGAAGGAGACTGTGGAAATACCTAACCCCAACTCGCCTCTGACGAGCAGTAGAGAGGAAGCTTGCTCCCCCAGCACCCCACCACCACCCTGCCTGGTGCCTTCTGCCCACCCTGAAAGGGAGGCAGCTGCATTGACAGAAGCAGCAGAGCCACAGTTCTGGGTTCTTTAGAGCTCTGCTTCATACTTTATTCAGGCTTAAAACAGAGAAGAAGAGCTAAGTTTTTCAGTTAACAGTAACAGCCTAACTTTTCTTCCAATCTAGTATATCTTTGGAAGCTGTATAACACTAAAGCACCATTGCAAGAAGATCAGCTCTTCAAACACTGGATGACTCCTCAGTTCCAAAAGGTAACCAGGGCATTGACTCCTTGGGACTGGGGAGCAGGGGCTGCACACAGGTAAACCTGCAGTTCTTCCCCATGTCTGTAGTTAATGGTTCTGATGCCCAAAGTTTTAATTATCAAACCATCACCCCTTCAAGACACCTGTTACTATTTCCTCACTTTCAGAAATGGACAGATTTTCAAAATTAATAACCCATTTCTCCCCTTGCCTCAGATAAACAGACTCCAAGGTGGACAGCTGTTGACTGAGCTCAGGTATCAGGGAACCCCAGCCTCAACGGAAAAAAATAAGAAAACTCCAAACCCCATGTTATACAGCTTTAACTACTATACTGTCACAGATGCCAAGTCATGACAATCTGATCATTTCACTATTAGCTAAAAGTTACAAACCATAAAATTTAAGCTCTTTGAGAAAGCCTAATACTTAAAAACATAGAAAGCATTTTACGAAAAAAGCCATCTGGGGGAAATCCAAGGCCCTGCTCCAAAGCCAGAAGCTACACCCCACATGTGTATTCCTCCCTTTATTTTCTGGACCAAATGCTTGCACTGCGTCTTGCCCAAACTCCCCTCACCCCATCTATAGGCAGCAGGTGGGTAGTGATAAAAGCTATTCCTCATTTCACTTCACTCCCTACTTCCCAGATGTTTGCTCAGTAGCTTTTATTTTTTCCTTCAGCTACTTATGAATACACTCTAATTTAGAACAAACAAATTCAATGTGTCATAGTTTACGCTGAGCAAGGCACACAATAAATGACAGCTATAAAGATAACTTCAAGATATTTCTCCAGCTTATAAATAAGTCTGCCTACCAAGGCAGGATTTACACAGGCTGCTGCATTCTTGCTTTAGAATTAAGTATTTAACAGCATAACTGGGAGACGGCTGCCGCCAAACCGGTCAACGACAGGCAATTGTACCTGTCACAAAAGGTTTGTGCTAAGAAATGAAGATGCAAACATCATCTGGGGAGAGGAAATGAAGCCGCCCGACACAATCCCTGGTATGAATCATACAGACACACTCCAAATGCACCTCTTCCCAAATGCATCAGCTGGTCTCCAGGAACAATTCCTGCAGTGTATGCTCACAGCTCAAGAAAGACTGCCCTTTCCCCCGAATTATCAGAGAGACATATCAAACAGCAAGATCATATAAGTGGAAACATTATCTAAATAGAATTACAAAGCCCACTCAAGAACTCTGAATTCCCCCATAAATAAGTCAAAACACAAAGACATTTCTAAATATGTAATCTCGGTAATCAAGTTCTCCTTTGAAATTCACCTTTGGGAATGCCAGAAATGAAAGGACAGTTTTTCACGCCTGCAAAATATTGGTTTGTATACCTCTTATAGGGAAAAGAATATTAAAATAAAGAAAAGTCAACAATCCTGGAGATTTTCTTCCTTTCATTACTATTTGTAAGACTATAAAAATCATAATCTAGATTGCAGAGAGGCAACTCAAATGCGCAGTTTACCAAAGGCTTGTCATAAGAAAGCCATCTAGTGTTAAAGTTTAGAAATGAAAACTGCAGACAAAAGAGGCAAAGAAAAGAAAAATTTGTGAGACTATTTTGAACTTACTGAGCAAACCCATGAAAATCGCCAAGGTTTTTGTTTGTTCGCTTTCCTTTCTAAGCCAGCCCTGTCCAAACCAAGGCGAACTCTCAAACTCAAAGCAAAGCCCCCGAGGTCCACAGCGCCGTTTTGTCCTGAGAGCACAGTTCTGCGCCCGGCGCGCCCGCCGTTTCCCACACTCGGGCTGGAGTCACCCCGGGCTGAATTATCTCGGCGAAGCAGGTTAATGATGACAAATACCTCCCGGGGGGCGACGCCAACTAGTTCCCGGCTCTCGCTCCGGAGGATGAGCCGCAATTGATTCTCGGGTTGCGGCGCGGCTGAGATTGATCTGAGGGCGCGCACGGGGACATCCCGCACGCTGCGGGGCGCGGGCCGGCCGGCGCGGAAGGGCGCGGGCCCGCGCTCACAAAGGGCCCGCGAGCCCCGGGACCCACCCCGCAAGGTGGCCGGCCCGCGCGCCCAGCCTCGCCGCCGCATCCGCCCCGGCCGGTGCGCGGCGATGGGCACGACCCTTCACCGTTCGCCCGGCGCCCTGGAGACCCGCGGACCCCGGCTCCCAGCGCAGCGCCCGTCCGCGCGCGCCCGCCGCCCAGCCGGCGTCTCCCCCGGGACGGTCCCCGCGCCCGCCACGCACCTCAGAGCCGCGGTCCCCGGACCCGCTACGGCCCGCGCGCGCAGGACGCGCCGCCACCTCGCCGCCCGCCGCCGACCCGCGCGGCCCATCGGCCCGGACTCCCCGCCGCGCTCGGGCGGAGGCGGCGCACCGCGGCGGCAGGAGCTCTGGCTGCGCGGGCGGCGGCGCTGCGTCCTCCTGCCCGGCTCCGGCTCCGGCTCCGTCTCCTCGCCGGCTCCCGCCGCCGCCCGCCGCCCGCCGCCGCCCCCGCACCGCCCGCCGCCTCCCATTGGCGGCCGTCTAGGACTGCCGCCTCCTATAGGTCGCCGCTGGGACCTCGCCCCGCCTCCGCGGGTGCGCGCGCCGCCCTTCCGTCCGCGGCTCGCGCAGCGGTGCGCGGTTCCCAGGCGGGCGGCGGGAGGGGCCGCCCGAGGCCGCGGTCCGCTCCACCCTCGCAGGGACAGGGCGGGCCCGGACCCGGCCGCGCGCACCCTCCTGCCCGAGTTGCGACGAACGCTCGGCCGGCGTTCGAGTCGTGTGCCCCGGGGCCTGAACGTCGCCGGCCGGGGCGAAAACAGTCGGGGGCCTGCGCGGCACCCGCCCGGGACGGCTGGGGGTCGCGGCGACCCGCGGTGCAGAAGCCAGCGCCGGCCCCCTTCCCGAGGCGGCGCCGCTGCCCGGGGCTGGGAGGAGCGAGGCGGAAGCACTCCGTCGCAGGCGCCAGTGGCGAGTCGCGGCGCGGGGACCTGTCGGCTGGGAAGGCGCGGCCCCGGGAGAGCAGGAGAGGCGCGGGTCTTGCGTAGCCTCAGGGAGATAACTTTCCGTTTTCTACTTTCCCAGGAGACGCGCTTCACCTGCGAGGAAGCCTCGCCGGAACCATGAGTGTGCACCGCCGGATCCCGACCTGGGCACTGGAAGATCGGCGGCCTCAGGGGAATTTTCCGAGCGAAGCTGGAGATGACGCCGCCCGCACGGTGCCGTGGGAGTCTTTGCCCGCAGGAAGACAAGGCGGCAGGTGCGGGTCGCCGCTGACCTGCCCCCAACCACCAAGGGCTGTCGGAGCGGGCTTCGCCGCGACCGAGCCAGGGGCTGTGCCAGCCTGGGTCGGGCGTCCAATTCCTGCCCTCGAGGAGGCAGAATTCTTCCCGAGAGGTGTTCTCCCTGCTCGCCGCTCAGGCACGTCCAGGACACAGCTCTGGTAAAGTTAAACAGGGCCTCCCGTGCCGTATTTCTCTGTGAACACACCGTTCAGTCCTTTATATCTTATTAGAAAATGGGCATGATGTATGGCAATGGGTGTAATAAAACACGTCGGGCAGCGATCCTGTGTCAACATAAAATTCCTGAGTTCTCCAAGTTTGGGGGGTTCCTGTCACCTCATAAGCAGCATTTGAAAGACCGTCCTGTATTCATTCCGCTAACATTTAAGGAGACGCTAAAAGACCTGCTGCTCGCGTCCTCGCTGGAAGGTCTTCCCAGCAGCCTGTCGCTGGCTTTCCGGGAAGGGAACGCAGCCTTGACCCTAGGGCAGAGACCGAAGGAGCTCAGCACCTGTGCAGATACCTGCGCAGCGCTTCGCTGCCTCGGGTCTTCCTGAACGAGTGCCTTTTCTAGGAAAGCTGTAGGTTTTGCGTAAGTTTTAAAGAAAAATATCAGATGCGAAGTATGAAATTGGGGTTTCCTAAAAGCTCGCGTGAGCTTATCTTCAGTCTTTCACCTTCCCTAAAACCGAAAGTGGCTTCCTTCGCTGCTTAGGTCCCACTTCCCGCCCCTCAAAGGCCTCCTTCCTCTTGGAAATTTCACCGTGGTCCTGGGCAGCCTAAAGAAACACTCTAGGGATTACTTGTCTAGAATTACGCCTCGGAACGTGGACTCCTTCTGAAGTAATTTCGGTCACGGTCTTACCTCTTTTCCTCTAGGAAAAATAAAAGGGGTAAAGTTCAAAGGCAAACCAGCAATCTACCCCGTCTTAAGGACTTCCGCTTGTGCGCTGACCTTGCATGCTGCTTGTACTTATTCACCTTTGAATTGAGCAAAACGAGTTTTATTTCCTTAATAAACCACGGTGAGATTTAAGCTACAATAACGTGCACACTATAATAAACCTGAATGGCTAATATGGGTTTATATTCCCACCCTTATTTCCTCCTCAGTTCTACTACAAATCATTTTTAAAGTGTTTATTTAATATGAAATGGATATTCATAATTTGCAACAACTAGGTACTGATTACTTAGACAGTTCAGGGCATTGTGTTAGGTGCATGGGACCCAAGGGCTACAGACCACCCTGTAAGAATTTCAGAACAAGCAGAGCTTGAGCAGGTGCTCAGGACCGCCTGTGGGTGGCGCCCACGGAAAGCAGAGAGCCTGTCCTGCAGGTAAATCAAGGGTCCAGTGGGCCAAGGCCTCCTGACCAAGGCTATCAGAGGGCCAGGCAAGAAGGAGGGAAGGAGGCAGTCTGCTGGCCAGGGAAGCACGGGCAGTATACCTAGGAACCAACTGCACAGGCCTGTCTGGGAAACAGCAGTGCCCTCTAGCCAAGCACACCTTACTACTTATGTAACCACAGTTGCCTGGCACTTCGTCTGCCAAGTCCAGTTTGCTTCTCAGAAGGCATGTCCTCCCATGCAGTAGAGCATGTCAGGAGCATGTGAACCTCTCATACAGCACAGATGTGTTTGGATATGGTCCAGTAAGTAAAATAAAGTGGCAGTCCTGCTGAAATTAAAAAATGCTTTAGTTACAGCTCAGAAAGCCCTGGTGTTGTAATATACCAGTAGTCCAGATAGCAGGAAAGCATCTGTTTCAGAAGAAGGGAAATCAAAAGCGTAATGTAAGAGTTATTGAATAATGCATCAATACTGTCTCATGGTATAAGTCCACTCTAGGAGCCCAACAAGCCCCCTAATAAAAATTTAGCTCTGCAAATACGTTGGAGACCCACTCTGTGCTCCTTTGTGCTCTGGGGGCCACAGAAGAGTCCTATGTTTAAATAGCAAGGCCATTCCCAGGGAAAAACAGGAGTGCTCAGCTGGGATTTTTGCATGGGAAACAATTCTAAGAGTAGTGCAAAGGCAATGCATTTAAAATGCTGCATGCATGGAATTTAATGTTGCATAGAACATGCCATAGAGATCTGGAAAGGTGACACGAGATGGAGTAAGCAGGCTCAGGGACAAATATCCTCCCGCAGGGAAATGTTTCTACATTCTTCATTGTATGCTTCACAAGCAAGAAGTCCTGTATACTGGTTTTTGCTGTAATGTGCCCAATCCCAAGTATCTCCAAGGCCCTTCCAGGACGGGTGCATTACTTTCTGATGATTCAAACTCTTGGCCATTGCAATTCATGTTTTCCTACTCCTAGTGTCTCATCTTCACCAATCCAAGCTTACTGCTGAACAGCTTGTATATATCTTATTGCCCTCAAATGTGTCTTCTGCCCTCTTGCCTCACCAATGAAAGAAAAGGGGAGAGGCAGGCAAGGAGGAAGGGGGAAAAGGTGAGAGAGAGAGGAGAGAAGATGGACGAGAAGGAAGGAGAGAGAGGGAGAGGAGTGGAGGAAGAGTAGAAACTGAATGGGACCAGAAGCATCCTCCAGCATATCCTTACTTGGGTAGCCCAAAGAGCAAGGTTCTTTAGAAGCCCACAGACATGGGGATCGAACCACCCTGGCTCTAAACTTTCCGGGAAGGGAAAGCAGTTTGAAAGCTTATTAGATATGTAACCATAAACAAGTTACATCTCAATTTTTCGTTTATCTCATCTAAAAAAAAACAGATAATAAAACCTCTGAGGCAAAGATGCTGTTATTCTGCAGCTCCACAGCTGGCATGCTGTGATCTCCAGTGTGGACCATGACTACCGCCTGTCCTTATGCAGACCTGTCAGCAGGAGGGCTTGACAGGAAGCTAGCCAGTGTGTCAGGGATGGAGGCACTGAGATGAAGCACTGTTGCTGCTTTCCTGTGTCCTGCCAAAGCCGATTTAAAGTTGATGACTTAACCCTCCACGCGGCATGTTGCCAGTTGGGACACACTTCTCTAGAGCCAGTGTTCTCTGGGTTCCCCTGTTCATGAACACTAAGTCATAGCATGTTCATCGAATGGATCTAGAGCAGCTGCTCCCTGTCCACTAGGTGGCGTCTGTCAACAGGAAGTTTCCAAAGCACCACAGGTATGCTGCCAGGTGACCATTCTAAGGAAATAAATAACAAAAAAGGTGTGTGTTCATCTAACACATATTCACTTTCTACATGTTATTTATTTTTAATGGTGTCTACGAACCTAGAGCTGTGTTTAATTTGGCAAATCATTTTTCTAATTTTAACAGTCTTCTGTAACATTTTAAAAGTTCCTAAGTAAACTCTAAGCAACCTCAGTGTGCAAGACATTTCACAGTACCGGTTGATGCATGTCGTTGACTGACTTATTTGAAAGTACGCCTTCATGTCCCCATCTCTGCATACAGGAGATGGCTCTTATTCAACATTACTGATTAAAATTCAGTGTGGCAGCAGGGCACCAGCCAGTGCCTCTGATTTTATTACAGCATGACCCAACAGAGAGCTCGTACCTAGATGCAGCAAGTCCTGCTCACAGCACAGGCACATTGGTCCCATTGCCCTGTGGGTGGTGGCAGAGGCCATCATAGAGCCCATAAGCAGACCAAGGTGGTGAGGCAGAGGCTCTGGGAGGCAGTGGTGTCCTACAGGGACAACTGGACTGATGTTGCACAGTGTGCCCAGGGCACACTGCAGAGATATCAGCAGATTCAATCCTGTGTGTAAAACTCATCCCCTGAGGACATCAGGAAAAGAAAGGTGATGTTTTTGTGGAGAATTGGAATTCTGTATTATCAGGTAGGGCACAAACCTGGGAAGACAAATGGTGGCTCTGGACATGGCCCTTCTGCAGCTGAAGCTGGTCTCAGGGGTCTCCAGTGGCACAGACATGTACTGCCTGTGTCCCCAGGTTGTACAGAGACCTTCTTGAGCTCTTGGTTATTGTCTAATTGACCAAGGCTGACAGCAAGGGAGCTGATCCCCTGGGCACCTCTGCCACTGTGCAGAAAGCATGAGGACAGCCAGCTGGTGGGATTGTTGAGACTGTGGCTCAGACGGAGGCCTCATTCCT